TTTGAATTTTATATGTTTGATTTAAGATAACTTACAAAATAACTCTTGGTAAAGTTATTCCGCTCAATAACTCATGGTGTGTGTTGAATTTCATCGATCCAATTAATTGTTAAATTAAAAGTTATTAAATTTTACTAATAATTAATATAAAAAATTAATTAGTTTTGGAATAAATTATTTGCTAATTAACAATATAATTGAAACATTAATTATTTTAAATTATTTAACTAAAATCCATATACATTTCGGTAGCTTACTCATCAGAACTTCACAGTTAAGCGTGCTTGACCTGGAGTAGTACTGGGATGGGTGACCTTCTGGGAAGTTTTCCAGAAATTGCACAAGTAAGGATAAAACACGCTAAACAGTGAAATGTTGTGAAATAGAACCCTTGAGAGGCCAAATATGAGGGTTGTTACATTAATAAATTTATTAAAATTTAAAAAAAGATTATAATTTCTGACAGATTTTTCCGTCGGAAATTTCGACACAAATCTCTGACAGATTTTTCCGTCAGAAATTTTGACAGAAATTTCCGACAGATTTTTCTGTCGGAAATTTTTGACAGATATATCCGACAGATTTTTCTGTCGAAAATTTTCGACAGAATTCTCTGATGGAATTTCTGTCGGAAAAATTATTTCCGATGGATTTTTTTTTCGACGGATTGAAATTCGTCAGAAAAAGAAAAATCCGTCAGAAATTTACCTATTTTCGTCAGAAATCAGCATTTTTCTTGTAGTGATCGCCACCAGTGAACATCACCACAAACCGGGCAGTGCAAACTAGAAAAGGAAAAGAAAAAATGTTACAAATGCAAAATCCATATTCCAATATAAATAAATAGATGTAAAGTGTTAACAAAAAATAACGCATAATGAAGTTGGAAGGTTAAAACAATAGAAATTAAGTCAACATCAATAATACCACAAGAAACAACTGTATTTCTTTTATCATAATAGTTCTTCTTTATGCAGAAAGAGGATAAATTACATCTCACAAGCAGACACAAAAAGATCCAGAAGAATAGAAAAGGCAAGGCATCATATAAACATATTTTTATAATGATTACAACACTATTTGACAAAAAGAAAATGAAGGTAATGAACAATTACCATAAAAAAGGCCACAAATGTTCTTTCGAAACATGTAATAGAGGTCCCGAAAGGATTCTTCCCAAGCTACTTGTCGTTTCCTCAAGAACTCCAATTCTATGGCATGAAAAGGGAGGATAAGAGCTTGAGGAAAATGGAAAGAGGAAAATTACAAAGAAACAATAAACAGATATACTGAAAACTGCTTGAAAACCTCTGTCTGATGTTGATGAGTTTATGAGTGATATTATTGAAGGTGGTAGAATGGACTAGGTGGTAGAATGGACTGAGGATACATCCATGAAGGGTATGCATCTATAAATAAAGTTTTGCTTATTTATCTCTGAACTTTATTTATGGTTGCATACCCTTTATTAGGATCTTCGTTTCTCTATGCCTCTTTGCCATTCGAAAGTGGAACAAGTTACAACTGAGGATCTAGTTGAGTTGTCTGAGATAGAGAAGCAAAACTTAGGATAGGTTTGTATCTGTGCTATTGCCTATTTATCTGTGCTTTTATTCTATATTGCTTATTTGGCAAGGCCTCTTTATTTATTTTATTATTATAGTTATAATACTTGAATTTTCGCATCAATATTTATTCTCTTGATGATCTCTGAACTTTATTTATGGTTGCATACCCTTTATTAGGATCTCCGTTTCTCTATGCCACTTTGCCATTCGAAAGTGGAACAAGTTACAACTGAGGATCTAGTTGAGTTGTCTGAGATAGAGAAGCAAAACTTAGGACAGGTTTGTATCGGTGTTATTGCCTATTTATAAAGTGTTTTTTTTTTTTTCAAATGATGTTTGTATTAATCTCTAAATGTAAAATGATCAAATTCTAATTAGGGATGGAAATAAAGCAAGCTTTAAACAAGGGGTTTATGGCCTGACATGTTTAATAGAAAGACAAAGTTTAGACCTTTAAAAAAGTTTATTTATATAAAAAGGCTAAACTTAAATTTATAGAAAAGTTTGTTAGATCTGATAAACCAGTCTATTTATTTATATAATATAATAATAAAAATAATATATTATTAAAAATATAAATAAACCAATATTACTAGTCACACTCCCAAACATTACTAATTGTCACCCCACTTCTACTACTGAAAAAATAGAAAAAGAGTGACGTTCAATACAAGGTTAAATGGAGTCAAAGTCTCCAAAGAACCTACCCTAGAAACGCTATACAAAAGGATGATGGGAGTCCAAAGTCTAGTAGGCCTCCTTAGTATAAGGGCACACGATTCTTGTACTTTACAATGTTCTCTATTCTCGAAAATCTTTGCATACTATGTGCCTTCCATTTTCTAATGAATGAATATGCTAAACTAAAAGATGCATGATATTTTTTTTTGCCTAAATTTTATCATTTTTTTACTAATCTTATGATGCATGATTTTTGCTATAGATTTATTTGTTTTTGTTATTTTTTTTTGTTAAATAAACTATATTATATGATGCTTTGAGGTTTAGGTATATAGAAGGGAGTTAAATTTTTTTATCATATTGTTTTTTATTAATATCTATTTGTTTGTAATTCTTATCCATTTGAAATAAATAAACACAAACAAATGCAACACACATATGCTCAAACAAATGTACACCCGCGAACAGTCACGTTTAAATCCTTGGTCTGTGGTCCCTGCAAGAAAAGTGCATTGTATAGGACGGGTACGGGTATACCCGATACCCGACGGGGACAGGGATGTGGATGAAAATTACATACCCGACGGGTACGGAGATGGGGACGGGGATGAGTTTGACTTGCAGGGACAGAGACGGGTATCATGAAACCCGTACCCGACCCGCCCTGTTACCATCCCTGAGAGAAAGTAATGTAATTTAATCAAATAAAAAAAAATAACAATAATAAAGGAGCTAGGATCATTATTCCTTTCCGAAAATTGCGGAAGAAGTCGTCGTAGATCTGACTTGAACATTTTTTAAATTGAAAATGAAATCATCTTGCTTGTTTAATAACTTGAGAAAAATTCAACCTACAATGATGATGTGGTAAAGACTGCAACTAGCTAGTTTAAACGGACGAGAGGAATTAACATGATTCTCGCATAATTTGCTTAAATAAATAACTTACATAAAATTTATAAGATCATGACTTGGATCCATAAAATATAAAACCTCTCTATCTTGATTTTCATTCCTTGAAACAAAAATTAACGACCACTTAAAGAATTTGAAACATGGAAATAATGGTCTAGGATCCGATTTGAGTGATGGATTGTGGGCCAAAGGCTCAATTACTAGAGCTATGGCCAGGAACATACAGGAGAGATTGGACAACTTGAAGACTACTAGGCTTTCCAAGTCCAAGGTACTCTTCATATGGATCACCCCATCTTGAAGAGAAGGCATAGTTCTTTTGTATATAAATTGTACATAGTTTCTATGATGAGACCTAGCTAAATCAAATCCTTGAAAAATTAAGAGCAAAACAAGTCTAATATGAAAAATTTTGCCTAGGCCCAATTCTGGCCCAATTACTAGTCACACTCCCAAACATTACTAATTGTCACCCCACTTCTACTACTGAAAAAATAGAAAAAGAGTGACAGTAATACTAATAGTGTTTCCAGTATAGTGTTTTATGTGTCTAATGTTATTGTTACTAGTTTCTTTGCTTAATTTTTCAAATCTGTGCACTGGTCTGGTCTAGTATCAATAATATATTGTTATCTTAAAGAAAACCATGTAGAGGATTCGATAGCTTTAAAATTGAAATTTTTTTGTCCAGTTTGTTTGAAGCTTCAATGATTATTTTTCTTCCGCTAGCTATTTAAATAATTGGAATCTATATATTTCTGTTTCTCAGATTAAATGCATGGAGACAAGAAGAGCTGAAGACATTGCTGCTTCTTATAACGGGTCTATATGGAAAGATGGCGAGTCTGCACGAGGATCATCAGATGGCCTTTGTACCATTGAAATTAAGAATGCACTACTTCCACCTTGGGTTATTTGTGATACATGTGCATTGATGGCCTCTGAAGGAAGAAGCTTTGAGGCAAGGTACGAATAGCCTTTGCTTGGTAATACTTTTTACAGTGTTAAATTTCAGTTGTTTAGATAGGATAATTTCATGTGGTCAATAATAACTACTCTAAATTTTAGAGGTTAATGAATAATGAGTAAGAGTGTGGTGGGTATACATGCAAATTCAAGTATCCTGGATTTGCCTTTTAAAGAGAACTACTTGTGATAAACCAGTCTATTTATTTATATAATATAATAATAAAAATAATATATTATTAAAAATATAAATAAACCAATATATTTATAAAACAAAAATAAATTATCAATATTTAAAATATTATTTAATACAATTATTTTTTTTTTCATTATAGGTTTATAAGCTTATGATCTGTGCATGAGTGTATATCAACATACATAATTACACTTGAATTGTTCATTCAATAAAAAATGATTCAATTTTTCTCCTATATTTCTTTTAAAATTTAAATTTTAATAATATTGAGTAAACTATATTTTAAAAATAATTTTGTTGATTTTTAAAAATTAAGTTTATTTATCTAATTAACATTAATAATTTAAATAAACTTTTAAATAGGCTAATAGGTCATGTTTATGTTTTAATTTTATAAAACATGCCTGACCTATATATTCAAAGTCTGACTTGGCTTGGCCTACCCACCTATACAAAGAAACTATGTACAATTTATATACAAAAGAACTATGCCTTCTCTTCAAGATGGGGTGATCCATATGAAGAGTACCTTGGACTTGGAAAGCCTAGTAGTCTTCAAGTTGTCCAATCTCTCCTGTATGTTCCTGGCCATAGCTCTAGTAATTGAGCCTTTGGCCCACAATCCATCACTCAAATCGGATCCTAGACCATTATTTCCATGTTTCAAATTCTTTAAGTGGTCGTTAATTTTTGTTTCAAGGAATGAAAATCAAGATAGAGAGGTTTTATATTTTATGGATCCAAGTCATGATCTTATAAATTTTATGTAAGTTATTTATTTAAGCAAATTATGCGAGAATCATGTTAATTCCTCTCGTCCGTTTAAACTAGCTAGTTGCAGTCTTTACCACATCATCATTGTAGGTTGAATTTTTCTCAAGTTATTAAACAAGCAAGATGATTTCATTTTCAATTTAAAAAATGTTCAAGTCAGATCTACGACGACTTCTTCCGCAATTTTCGGAAAGGAATAATGATCCTAGCTCCTTTATTATTGTTATTTTTTTTTATTTGATTAAATTACATTACTTTCTCTCAGGGATGGTAACAGGGCGGGTCGGGTACGGGTTTCATGATACCCGTCTCTGTCCCTGCAAGTCAAACTCATCCCCGTCCCCATCTCCGTACCCGTCGGGTATGTAATTTTCATCCACATCCCTGTCCCCGTCGGGTATCGGGTATACCCGTACCCGTACCTGTACTTGTCAATTTTTTTATTTTTTGTTTTTTGTAAAGAAACGAGGACGGGTACGGGACGGGGTAAGTACATACCCGTACCCGTACCCGTACCGATTTAATATATCAGGTTTTATCCGTACCCGTACCCGTATCCGATCAAACCGAGTATTTCTCGTCAAAATTGGGACGGATTCGAGTATTACCTGCAAGTACGGGTATATTTGTCATCCCTACTTTCTCTTAATATATAAGTGTATTACAATTTCTCTTTTCTCTTAAGTTAAAATATACATTTTAATATATTTAACTTAGCATCGTTAACATAAATTATATTTCTTTATGTTAACGACTAAATCTTACACGGACTAAATATTTATTTGAGTTAAATATATATATTTAAACCTTTAAATACAAGAAATGTACCAATACATATTAAAAAAGTAACTATAGAGAATTAGTGGAATTAGTGATTAGTAAAGAAAATTAAAGTTAAATGTGCAATTTCATAAAAGTCATATAATGACTCAATCACCTTTACAAATGTATAAAAAAAAATTGTGACAAATAAGTAGGAAAAAAATTGTATAAAATAAAATAGAAATAGCAAAAACGAATCATAATATATGAACATAAATGAAAAATCAGAAAAGAATGGATAAGATTATATTAACATCATTTTTACATCACATTGATTTCTTATAAATTACATTAAGCAAAAAAAAAAAAAACACTTTTATTATTTCGTGCTCATGTACTACCATTCATTTTAACATCTTTATATCATATTTTATGTTTTGTTTTTTTTTTTTACTTTTCATTGTTAAATTTCCTTCATACTTGAAAATGATTGCATCTTTAT